AACCATCAGACCTATCAATCAATCAAAAAACAATCAGACCAATCAATCAATTAATCAACCATCAGACCAATCAATCAATCAACCAACCATTAGACTAATCAATCAAACAACCAACAATCAGATCGTTCAATCAATCAACCAACCATCAGACCAATCAATCAATTAACCAACCATCAGACCAATCAATCAATCAACCAACCATCTGACCAATCAATCAATTAACCAACCATCAGACCAATCAATCAATGAACCAACCATCAGACCAATCAATCAATTAACCAACCATCAGACCAATCAATCAACCAACCAACCATCACACCAATCAATCAATCAACCAACCTTCAGACCAATCAAACAATCAACCAACAATCAGACCAATCAATCAATTAACCAACCATCAGACCAACCAATCAATCAACCGACCAACAATCAGACCAATCAATCAACCAACCAACCATCAGACCAATCAATCAATCAACCAACCATCAGACCAATCAATCAATCAACCAACCATCAGACTTATCAATCAATCAACAAACAATCAGACCAATCAATCAATTAATCAACCATCAGACTAATCAATCAATCAACCAACCATTAGACTAATCAATCAAACAACCAACAATCAGATCGTTCAATCAATCAACCAACCATCAGACCAATCAATCAATTAACCAGCCATCAGACCAATCAATCAATCAACCAACCATCTGACCAATCAATCAATTAACCAACCATCAGACCAATCAATCAATGAACCAACCATCAGACCAATCAATCAATTAACCAACCATCAGACCAATCAATCAACCAACCAACCATCACACCAATCAATCAATCAACCAACCTTCAGACCAATCAAACAATCAACCAACAATCAGACCAATCAATCAATTAACCGACCAACAATCAGACCAATCAATCAACCAACCAACCATCAGACCAATCAATCAATCAACCAACCATCAGACCAATCAATCAATCAACCAACCATCAGACCTATCAATCAATCAACAAACAATCAGACCAATCAATCAATTAATCAACCATCAGACCAATCAATCAATCAACCAACCATTAGACTAATCAATCAAACAACCAACAATCAGATCGTTCAATCAATCAACCAACCATCAGACCAATCAATCAATTAACCAACCATCAGACCAATCAATCAATCAACCAACCATCTGACCAATCAATCAATTAACCAACCATCAGACCAATCAATCAATGAACCAACCATCAGACCAATCAATCAATTAACCAACCATCAGACCAATCAATCAATCAACTAACCATTAGACCAATCAATCAATTAACCAATCATCAGACCAATCAATCAATCAAACAACCATCAGACCAATCAATCAACCAACCAACCATCACACCAATCAATCAATCAACCAACCTTCAGACCAATCAAACAATCAACCAACAATCAGACCAATCAATCAATTAACCAACCATCAGACCAACCAATCAATCAACCGACCAACCATCATACCAACCAATCAACCGACCAACCATCAGACCAATCAATCAATCAACCAACCATCATACTACTCAATCAATTAACTAATCATCAGACCAATCAATCAACCGACCAACCATCAGACCAATCAATCAACCAACCAACCATCAGACCAATCAATCAATTAACCAACCATCAGACCAATCAATAAATCAACCAACCATCCGACAAATCAATCAATTAACCAACCATCAGACCAATCAATCAATTAACCAACAATCAAACCAATCAATCAATCAACTAACCATCAGAACAATCAATCAACCGACCAACCATCAGACCAATCAATCAATTAACCAACAATCATACCAATCAATCAATCAACCAACCATCAGACCAGTCAATCAATCAATCAACCAACCATCAGAACAATCAATCAATCAACCAACCAATCATACAAATCAATTAACCAACCAGCAGACCAATCAATCAATCAACCAACCATCAGACCAACCAATCAATCAACCAACCATTAGACCAATCAATCAATCAATCAACCAATCAATCATACAAATCAATCAACTAACCAACCAATCAACAACCATTCCACAAGAAAGCCAACAAGTCAACCATCGAACCAACCAATCAATAAAATAACCAATCAAGGAAACAGCACACAACTCAACCAACTAAACAATCATTACAATCAATCAACCATCTTATCAACCTACCAACCTACCGAACAAACAAACAACTTGTAATACTAACCAACCAACCAACCAATCAACAAAAATCAACAAACCATGAGACCAATTAATCAATTAACCAACCAATTAACCAATTTAAAACAATCAACTAACCTTTAAACTATTTAAACAAGTTGAACCAAATAACAAACAAATCAACCAACTGACTAATCAACATGACCAACCAATCAAACAACCAACAAACCAAACGATATCCCCTGCCAGTCAAATTGGGTGCAACATGATCCCAACATTTTGCAGCCCCTATGCTTTTTAACCACATAAAACAAACAAAACTGTTGTTGCATTTGTAATTTGTCCATACTTCATTTAATACCATGATAAACGCAGATATAATGGACATTTCTATTGAAAAAGAAGAAATGTTTGCACAAAAAGTTTATCATAGACTATATAAACATGAAACACACAAACTTAAATTGTGAATAGATAAATTGATTGAGATTAAAATCAAAAAGAGATTAATGTTTAATTTGTGATTCTATTTCTGTTATTTTCCATTCATTGACCGGTCTCGACAATTTTACTTTATTTTGCTACGATATATTTTGTTTCCCCCTCATGCAGGTGCTTAGTGCAGCTACGAACCTGAAGAACGAAATAAATTCTTAAACTAAAAGATTATAATGTCGTTAAAGTTTAAAAAAAAAATTATATCGAAGAATGAAGAAGAGAAGGATGTGCATTAAACAAATTGTGTTTTGTATACAAAACAATTATGTATGATTGTAATTAGGTCACAAGCTGTCGAAATATCTATGGTCAGAAAGAAGCATGAAGTGAGATGCTCTGCGAAATTTGTCGTGGAGAGCGGGAAGGGCAATACCAATCCAAGTCTAATATCACTAGAAACCTCTTTATGATAATGTAACCAGAAACACAGGCGTACTAGGCGTTGTGGGGTTGGGGTGGGGGAGGGGGGGTGGGGGGCTAAAGCCAGAAAGTAGAATGGAAAAGGTTGGAAATGCTGTCAGATTTGGATAATTGTTGCATGTATATAAAGAAGAGAGTCTTGTAATGAAATAAAGTAAGTACGAAAGCCAAACATTGTCATCCAGCCAAAACATCTTCGTTTGAAGTGACCAATTTCCAAATAAATTTTGTTTGCTGTGCAACTCTGGTTTTACATCCGGGACTTGTGTGATGTAAGAGGAAAGACCTGCCGCTATAAACCAGTTCATAGTTGCAGTCTGAGCATGAGCAGATAAAGGTCATTGCAGACCAAACTGTAAAATACACGTAGACAAAATACTGGTTACGTGCTCATGAAAGTTATGTAATTATTATTCATTTATGCACAAGCAGTGCACTCCATGATACATTGGTGGAAGTATTCTTAGAAAAGGGGAAACAAAGGAAAAGCACAATATCTAACTGCGGCGAGGGCACTGCATAATATTATGATGGGATCATGTCTTCCCTCTTACGCCACAGCCCTTAGACCGAAAATGATCGCCTTTACATTCTCGCTTCGAGTCGCTCCTGGAGGCTTGTTTTTAAATGATTGTTTTTTTAATAGTGTCAGTGGTGTTTTCAAATCATTAATTGAATTGAATCTTGTTTATGAAGTGTTAAAGTGGTATATTATTCATAATTTGTTGAATGTCTTTAAAGGGATCGTTTATCAATGTTAAATCTGAGATACACGGCCCTACGTGTTATCAGTGTCTGTGATATGATGTAATATTGAAGCCCTAAAAAAATCGCGCTTCAAAATGATCAAGAAATGCCTCAAAAAAGTAAAAATCTTTGAGTGACCGGTTTTACCATACTCGTTTTCCCCAATAGACTGTAGTGTTATGAAAACCGTCAGGCGAACGGTAATTCCAATCATAAATATCTTGATAATCAGACAGGCGATCGGCTTGTAAAAGCCACGGGGTTCCTGACTGACCTAAAGGTTTATAATTATCATTGCATCATGAGCTAAATCCAGAATATGTTTTCAGAATCTGAGACAAAGTTACCGGATCCCTTTAAGGTTATTTGCATTACCAGTACGTTAAGCTCATATTTCGAAATTTCTTTCCATACCTCTCGATTAGCTAGATCACCTCGTATATGTGTTTCGGCTGGCCCGACTGAGGATCTATCTCGTACTGTGGAAAGAAAACGCCTAGGAAAATACTAGAGGACCTGTAATCAAGCTGGATTTTAGAGATTTTAGTAGCAGGAATTACTTCAAAGCTATTTTGGACTAAGGAGTGGGAAGACATATGCCTCGTTAACACTTGCGCGCATTTTGGTCCCGCACTGCCCCGCCTTGTGCCGTGCCAATGCGTGCAAATAAGTGACACGCAGGGTCACGTCTACTTTACGAATAGTTCACGCAACGCGTAACCACCAGGACACGCATTCGTAGACTATGCGCATGGCATGGGAAGTATGCGGGAAGTATGCGCAGCCAATGCGCAAATTAGTCGTTAACTAGTCGTAAAAATGCGTGCCGCTAGGCCATCGGACACGCATCGGCGCGCACTGGCACGACTAGGCAGCGCATAGGGTGCGCATAGTTCACAAAGTGTTCACGAACGTTGCCAAACAAAATTGTCGTGCCAACATTTTGAACATTTTGAAAATTCTGTCACGCATTTCACGCACGGCCCGCATCCGCCCGCATCCTCCCGCAAGCTACCACGAATACTTCCCGCATTGGCACGCAAGAGTATGTGTCTACGCGCAAACTATGCGCAAACCAAAATGCGGGCAAGTATCACCGGGGCATTAGGCTCTGAACCATGTCGTTGGAAATGTAAAACAATGGCGTCAAGTATGACGACAATGAAGACACTGCTTTGGATGATGGAGGAGCCAAGCTGTTTGAACGTTCGAATCAGAACGCTGGCAGATGAGCGTGAAATGTTGCAGAGGAAAACATTTACAAAATGGGTAAACCCACAAAGACCTACAAAGAGTTGGATGTCGCATTGTTGATCTATATACGGATTTATATGATGGACGTATGCTAATAAGTTTTATCAGGAGACAAACTGTCTAAACCCACGAAAGGCGAGATGCGCATTCACTGTTTACAGAACGTAGACAAGGCCCTGCAATTTCTGGAAGAGAAGCAAGTACATTTAGAGAACATGAGATGTCATGGTATCGTAGATAGCGACCACAGATTGACCCTCGGTCTCATCTGGACCATCATCCTTAGATTCCAGATTCAAGACATTCATTTTGAAGATGGAGACAACACGGAGACGCAATCGGCTAATGATGCCCTCCTCCTCTGGTGCCAAATGAAAACAGCCGGCTACTCCAATGTGAACATCCGCAACTTTACCACAAGCTGATGAGATGGGCTGGCCTTCAATGCCCGTGTACACAAGCACAGGTCGGACCTCTTCGACTAGAACAAACTGACCAAAGTACAACCCGTTTATAATCTCAACGATGTCTTCAATGTTGCTGAACAGAAGCTGAGGCTTATGAAGCTCCTAGACCCTGAATATATTGTTGTGGACCATCCAGACGAGAAGTCCATCATCACCTTTGTGGTGACCTACTATCACTACTTCTCCAAGATAAAGGCTGAGACCGTGTCCGGTAAGCGTATCGGCAAGGTCATTAACGGTACCATGGACAACGACGAGCTCATCACCGGGTATGATAAGGTTACGTCGGATATCTTGAAGTGGATCAGGCGGATCGTCGAGATCCTGAATGACCACGGTGAACCCACATTTAAAAAGAGTTGGATGTCGCATTGTTGATCTATATATGGATTTATATGATGGACGTATGCTAATAAGTTTTATCAGGAGACAAACTGTCTAAACCCACGAAAGGCGAGATGCGCATTTACTCTTTAGAGAACGTAGACAAGGCCCTGCAATGTCTGGAAGAGAAGCAAGTACATTTAGAGAACATGAGATGTCATGGTATCGTAGATAGCGACCACAGATTGACCCTCGATCTTATCTGGACCATCATCCTTAGATTCCAGATTCAAGACATTCATTTTGAAGATGGAGACAACACGGAGACGCAATCGGCTAATGATGCCCTCCTCCTCTGGTGCCAAATGAAAACAGCCGGCTACTCCAATGTGGACATCCGCAACTTTACCACAAGCTGGTGAGATGGGCTGGCCTTTAATGCCCGTGTACACAAGCACAGGTCGGACCTCTTCGACTAGAACAAACTGACCAAAGTACAACCCGTTTAGAATCTCAACAATGTCTTCAATGTTGCTGAACAGAAGCTGAGGCTCATGAAGCTCCTAGACCCTGAATATATTGTTGGGGACCATCCAGACGAGAAGTCCATCATCACCTTTGTGGTGACCTACTATCACTACTTCTCCAAGATGAAGGCTGAGACCGTGTCCGGTAAGCGTATCGGCAAGGTCATTAACGGTACCATGGACAACGACGAGCTCATCACCGAGTATGATAAGGTTACGTCGGATATCTTGAAGTGGATCAGGCAGATCGTCGAGATCCTAAATGACCACGGTAAACCCACATTTACAAAGAGTTGGATGTCGCATTGTTGATCTATATTATATGGATTTATATGATAGACGTATGCTAATAAGTTTTATCAGGAGACAAACCGTCTAAACCCACGAAAGGCGAGATGCGCATTTACTGTTTAGAGAACGTAGACAAGGCCCTGCAATTTCTGGAAGAGAAGCAAGTACATTTAGAGAACATGAGATGTCATGGTATCGTAGATAGCGACCACAGATTGACCCTCGATCTTATCTGGACCATCATCCTTAGATTCCAGATTCAAGACATTCATTTTGAAGATGGAGACAACACGAAGACGCAATCGGCTAATGATGCCCTCCTCCTCTGATGCCAAATGAAAACAGCTGGCTACTCCAATGTGGACATCCGCAACTTTACCACAAGCTGGTGAGATGGGCTGACCTTCATTGCCCGTGTACACAAACACAGGTCGGACCTCTTCGACTAGAACAAACTGACCAAAGTACAACCCGTTTAGAATCTCAAAAATGTCTTCAATGTTGCTGAACAGAAGCTGAGGCTCATGAAGCTCCTAGACCCTGAATATATTGTTGTGGACCATCCAGACGAGAAGTCCATCATCACCTTTGTGGTGACCTACTATCACTACTTCTCCAAGATGAAGGCTGAGACCGTGTCCGGTAAGCGTATCGGCAAGGTCATTAACGGTACCATGGACAACGACGAGCTCATCACCGAGTATGATAAGGTTACGTCGGATCTCTTGAAGTGGATCAGGCAGATCGTCGAGATCCTGAATGACCACGACTTTGCCAAATTGTTGCAAGGTGTTCAACAGCAGCTTCTCTTATTCAACACCTACAGAATAGTTGAGAAACCTCCCTAATTCATTAAAAAGGGCATCCTTGAAGTGATGTTGTTCACCATTCAGAGTAAGATGAGAGCTAACAACCATAAAACCTTTATGCCTAAGGAAGGCAAGCTAGTGCATGAAATCAACAAGGCATGGGAGAACTTGTAAAAATCTGAGCATGGCCGTGAGCTGGCGCTGCGCCAGGAGCTGATCCGCCAGGGGAAGCTGGAGCATCTAAACGCTCGCTTTGACCGAAAGGCAGTCATGCGTGAGACCTGGCTGAGTGAGAACCAACGACTTGTAGCCCGGGACAACTTTGGCTTTGACCTGCCTAGAGGCTGCTGCCAAGAAGCATGAGGCCATCGAGACTGACATCAAGGCCAACCAGGAGAGAGTGTTTGCTGTGGTGGCCGTTGCCCAAGAACTGGAAGAGAAGTGGTTTCATGACATTGAAACGATTATTGCAAGGAAAAACAGCATCCTACGTATGTGGGATTACCTGATAGAGCTGCTGAAGGCCCGACGTGTCAGACTCCAGCTTACCCTCGACTCCATGGAAGAAAAATAAGATGCTGCTGTTATCGGAGGACTACGGCAAGCACTTGATGGGGTAGAGGATCTTATACAGAAACACAACATGCTGGAATCACAGACACTGATAACACTTAGGGCCTTGTATCTCAGATTTAACATTGTTAAACGATCCCTTTAACAGACACAAGGCTTGGGAGAGCGAGCGATCGGGTCGTGACGCACAACTGGAGAGCAACATCCGGGAAGGCGAAGACCTGATCGCAGAGGAAAACTTTGGAGCATCAAAGATTTAGGACCGCATCACCAATGTCAAGAACATGTGGAAGAGTCTACAGGAGCTGTCTGGTCAGAGGAATGCTCGTCTCATGGAGGCTGTTGACCTCTACCAGTTATTTGCTGATGCTGATGATGTCGACACCTTCATGCTGGATACCCTCCGTCTCGTTTCCAGTGAGGATGTCGGAAGGGATAAAACAAGAAATATAGGGAGGTAACAGAAGAATTGCAGAACTATGAGACAATCATTGATGGCCTGCGAAAGCAAGCAGGAGAGCTGGGAGAACAGGACAGTGATTCTCCAGTGGTGCAGACTCGTCTTGGGACCACCGTTCTACGTTAAAAGGAGCTTCTGGAGCTTGCCAAGCTTCTCAAGCAACGTCTCCTGGATGCTCTTTCCCTGTACAAACTCTTCAACGAAGTTAACGCTGTCGAGGCCTGGATAGATGAGAAGGAGCACCCATTGGATGCTCTGATCTCTGCTGAGGACCTGAAATCCAACGAGGTCATCCTTGCACGCTTTGACAGTCCGGAGGGGGGAAGGAGGTAGAGGTCAACGGAGTCAAAGTAGAATTAGTCAACCAGCTGTCCAGAAAGCTGCTAGCCGTAGAGCATCCCAACTCAACAGAGATCACTACAAAACAGAACCAGCTCAACTCAAGATGGGTCGATCTACATGTCCTGCTGCAGCAGAAGCAGCATGCCGCCATGGCAGTCACAGAGGTACAGACCTACCACATCGAACGCCAGGAGACCACCCAATGGATAAGGGACAAAGCTCGTCTCATCCAGACCACCGAAGAGCTCGGCAATGATTTGGGAGGCATCATTGTACTACAGCGCAGGCTAAGCTTTCGAGGCTATGCTTGAATCCCTTAACAACGAGGCACAGAAGCTTGCCCAGGAACATCCTGCGGAGGCAGAACTCATCAAGAAGAGATACGATGAGATCATGATTGTATGGCTTGAACTCAATAAACTGCTGAAATCTCGCGAAGCGGCTCTGTCTGAGGCCGGTGACCTCCAACAAGTCTTGCGCAACCTGGATGACTTCCAGTCTTGCCTGTCCACGACCATGACCAAAGTGACTTCACAAAAGACCCCAGATTCCCTTGCTGAGACTGAGAAGTACTCAACAAACATGCTGCCATCAAGGATGAGATTGAAGGCTATGAAGACAAGTACGCCAAGATGAAGGAGAACGGTGAACGCATCACCGAGGGACACACAGACAGACACGCAGTACATGTTCCTTAGACAGCGTCTGCAAGCTTTGGGAGATAGATGGCTGGAACTGCACCAAATGTAGGACAATCGTGGGCTCCTGCTTTCCCAGGCTCTTAACGACCAGATGTGCCAGCGTGATGCACGTCAAGCTGATAGCATCCTTAACCGACAGGAGTACTTTCTCACCAAGGTAGAGCAACTATCCAGAAGTATGAGCACTTCATTGGCCAGATGGCTACCAATGATGAGAAGATTAATACAGTGTTGTCCTTTGCCAACATGCTCTGTGATGAAGACCACTATGCTGCAGATAAGATCAACAAGAAGGTAGAGAACATCGATGAGAGAAGAAAGGCCAACCGTATTGTTGCAGAGGCTATGCTTGAGAAGCTAGAGAACAGCCGTCTCCTACAGTCCTTCCTGCAAGAGTCTGAGGAGCTTGGTCTCTGGGTGGTGGAGAAAATAAGCTTAATAAGAAACCTACGACGGAGCCAGGAGCCTTCACAGCAAATGGCAGAAACACCGGGCCTTTGAAGCTGAGCTGAACTCATCAAGGAGAAGCCAGAGACCGAAGATGATGTCCAAGCCAAGTTTGCAGACCTGGATCAGCAATGGAACGAGCTAGAGAACACCACCAAGACCAAGGGCAAGACCCTGTTTGAAGCCTGAACAGCCAGCAGCTCTTCACCGGCGCATGTGATCACATGGAACAGAATATTGTTGACTTCGAGACTGAGCTATGTCATGCTGATGCTGCTAATGACCCGGTCTCAGTCAACAACTTGCTCAAGAAACAACGGGTCTATGAACAGTTCATGTTGATCAAGCAAGAGGAGATTGACAGCTTGTAATGCCATGTATCATCACTAGAGAATGTCGAACACATAGAGAAGGTAACAGCCAAGAAGGAACTCATGGCGCAGCGCTTCAGCAACTTGTCAGATCCCATCAAGAAGAGGCGAGGGGTGCTTGAGGCGGAGTAGCCGGGTTACTAGGTTCTCAGGGATCTAGATGATAAGAAGATCTGGGACCAGGAAAAACTGTCCCCGGTCACTTCCCACGATGTGGGCAACAACTGTAGACAGTAAAGACCCTGCAGAAGAAGACCAACACTCTCAATGTCAAGGTGGACGGCCATGTTCCTCGTGTGGAGGAGGTGATCGACCGGGGTAAGGCCATGATTGAGCAGGGCCATCATCAGTCAGAGAACATTAAGGTCAGCATCACAGAGCTGGGGGAACACGTCATCATGCTCAAGTCGGCCATCGCAGGGAGGAAAGATAAGCTGGTTGACTCAAATAAGGCACAACAGTACTACTTCAGTGCAGCAGAGGTTGAGGCCTGGATGAGTGAACAGGACATGTACATGTACAGGCTGTACATGATAGTTGAAGAGCGCTGGAACTCATTGATACAAGGACCAAGGTGTTGGCTGCCTCGCATGAGCTACTCCGATGCTAAGGATGTCCTTGCTCATATACACGAGAAGCAACAGGAGATGTCTGAGGAGCTAAGCAAGGATCAGCAGTCGGAAGCCATCTTACAGAGGAAACATGTCTCTTTCCAGAGTGATCTCCCTGTTCTTGGCCAACAGGTCAACGATGTTCACGAGGAGGCTGACCGTCTTCGTGCCACCTATGCTGGTGACAAGCCCAGGGAGATTGACAACCGAGAACATAAGGTGGTGGATGCATGGAACAACCTGAACTCATCTATCAAGTTCTGCTGCGTCAGACTTGACCAGACCGATGAGCTCTTTAGATTCCTCAACCTCATGATGTGGATGGAGGACATCTTCCTTCAGATCATCAACCAGGACAAGGCCAGGGATGTATCCAGTGTTGAGCTTCTGATGAACGGTCATCAGAACATCAGGCAGAGGTTGACAATGGGGATGGTAACTTCACAGAACGCCATAGATGGGAATACCTACAGCTCGTTCTGGAGGTATACCAGTTTGCTCGTGATGCCCATGCTACTGACGCCTGGCTGATGAGCCAAGAACAATACCTGAGAAGTGATGATTATGGGGACTCTCTGGATAAGGTGGAGAAGTTGATCAAGAGGCCCGAGGCCTTTGAGAAGGCCCTCTATTGCCAGGGAGAGAGATTCACCGCGCTTGAGAAACTCACAACATTTGAGTTGAGAGAGCTACGCAAACGTCAAGACAAGGACCGTCGTAATGCCGGTGAGAATTCTCCACCTATGAACGAATCACCATCTCTCAAGCACAAGATTGTTAATGACTTCATGTATGCGGAGAGGCAGAATTAGGAAAGAACAATGGAGGAGGCCGAGGAGGAGCAACAGCAGCAGGAACAGGCAGAGATAAGGCAAGCTGCCACCAAGTACGTTGAATAAGTCCAAGAGATGGTGAGCCAGGAGGCTCAAAGGGAGGTGCATGCCATTGTGGTAGACGGTGCAGAGGGTCATACCGACGATGCACCCATGAACGGAGAGGAGGAACCGGCACCTGGTATGGTACAAGCAGGAGCGTTCAGTGGTAGCAATGAGGCCGAAGGATACTTCGTGAGGAAGCACCAATTCGAGTAGGGAGGCAAGAAGGCTTCCAACAGATTTTGCAACCAATTGTTTATGGTATCACCAATGGCCAATCACTGTCATTCTACAAGGATTCTAAGAACAAGCTGAAGGAGATCACATTCAACAACGAGCATCCTATTAATCTCAGTGGGGCTACTGCTGAATATATCCTGAAGACTACACCAATAAGAAGCATGTTTTCAGGCTCAAGTTAGTTGATGGGTCTGAGTATCTATGCCAATCTAAGGACAGTGAAGAACTAGGCTACTGGTTAAACCAGTTATCTCCAGTACTGGTGATTCCGCCTCTAAGGAACAGAAGCGAGCCCACACCCTCCCAGCGGACTCCACCTCACCAGGGGGCAAGAAGGCAAAAGGGAAGGAGACTCTTTACCCTCAAGCGCAAGTTAGAGCCCGAGAAGGGGTCAGATAGTCAATGGTGACCACCCCCTCACTCTCCTATGTTCCTCTTGTATAGCCCCCCCCCCTGTACATCATGACAATTTTTCAAGTACTATTATGGTTATCATGGATTGATATTGAATCAGTCAACAATAAAGCTTGCGTGATAAGATGAAAATAAGAGGTCACACTTTAAAAAACCTGAAATAGTTGCTAGTAGTAAATGTATAAAAAGTATCTTGGTGAAGTATATAATTCATCTACTCAGCCCTACTTATGCGACTTTTATGTAGGCCTATTTACTTTTACATGTTCAAAATGTATGTAGACTGTGTATACAAATCAAAGCAAATTGTAATAATCTTTATGACATTAACTTTAAGACATTGCAAATGCCCAAAGTGTATAAACTGGATAAATATTACATTTCTAACATAATAAATCAAACTTTAATCATAATTCTTCGTTAATCGGGTTTCTCTACACCAAAACCTAATACAAATTCATTAGCGCCCAAGTTCCCGACTACAATTGTCACACTCCAAGGCCCAATTGACTGTACACACATATGCATTATACACGTACCCGTACAGGCATAGCCTACGCATCCAATTCATATACGGGTAATCTACTTGTACATTGAGAAGTCACACCCCCTTAACATTACGTAACATCTTTCTCGCCTTAAATTACCCATTATGTAAACAAATATCATGTTTTTTTAACATATTCATAAGCCTTATAATTATACTTATTCGTTTAAAAAAGAAGGTTGAGTTCTGGGAAGAGGTGAACAAAAATTTGTGAGCGTTAGCATTGTTATCATGCAAGGTTGGAAGAACATCAGATAAAACATGTTCCCTGAAAAACATGGCTCTTCAAATGCCTTCATAAGCGGGTGGAAGAGGGGTGAAGGTCACGGTTCTAAAGCCTGCCACCAACGACCTTCTTACATATACAAGAATAAATAGCCCTTGTAACGATGTAATATCATATCTAATAAGGACTTTTAGATTTGCGTGGACTAATACGTGTGACGTCCTTTCAAGGCCGTGCATTAAAAGGACGTCGTCCGTAGCAATCCAGATTGTCTGTGTTCAAATCTAAAAGTCCCTATTGTATGGTTTGCTGGCTCCACTCAACACTGCATTTGGGTAAGGGAGCAACCGAGCGAAATTACATGTATGCCATCTTATTTCCATCACAAGAAAACTGGGTGGAAAAGTATGTTGCGAATCCAATCGAGTTCTTGCACTGAGAAGCACTCGTAATGTCTAGCCTTTGGTAGTTTTTGTCGTGGTAGTAAAGCTCGCTTTGACTTAATTTGGACCTGCTCCGTCCATTACAGCATACCATTCTTGGTCGACTTTGACACTTCTCTTTACGTGCTGTCTGCTAGCCATCTCATCCGTAGAACGATTCTGTATTATGTAACCTTGTGTTTATACAACCGTTTCACCGATACACATGGTATCCTTTCTCAAACCTATAATTCACTCTATTATACAGTTGATACTCCTTGCGAAGAATGTGTTCTTGATCCGCAGGTCTGGTTGATATTCCCTGGGCAGGGTGAATTGCATTGTGTGTCCTCTGATTCCTGGATCGTTGGAAGGCCATTACTACAAAAGCAAGTGCTTTCTGATATCGCCGCATATGATTTTCCATCTATGCTACACTCGTCCTTACATTCATCCAAGCTTTGTGACATATATTCGGTGGTAAGAGACCTTGTAGGTGCTTTCCGGAAGGTAGCATCCCATAAAACCCGGACCTACATTATCAAAAACAAATGAAAAACTTTAGAATTTCATAGTCATGAAATCGGACAGTTGTTCTAGTATAAATATGGTGAGGTAAACTGACGTTTTAAATTGCACTCTCAGATTTAGTATCTCTCAAGACGCTAATTCCACAAAAAAACTCTAAATAAAAAAATAAAAACATGCTATTACAAAAATACTTTTTTTAATTGTGGGTAGACAATATGATGTGTATTGTTATTTCTCTTGAGTTGGTTATTTCGAGAAAATAAATCTTGCAGATTATTATTCTTAATCCAAATGCAAATGACGTTTTTAAATAGTGTGATGATGAGGGAGGGTGTGCGTTTCAGAGGCATCACTAAAACAATTTGTAAAATGTATGCGTGGGCGTGCCTAGTACCTTTCAGTGTGCTCGTGTGTGCCCGGGATTGTATGTGCGTGTGTGTGTGTGTGTGTGTGAGTGTATGTGCGCGCATTATTTGATGTTATGAATATGCTGAGGCCATTTTACGCATATATTTCTTTATCCCTTAAAATTTACCATGCTTAGCAAAGGTAATCGCCACTGAAATGATCAACAACAGAATCAACAGAATCAAGGCTCCCTTAATTGCAAACATCATATTCCTACTCGATCAGTCCACAAGCCATTGCAGACTCTATCCTCTATATCATATACGTCTTATTCTTAAGGGATCGCAGAAAATAATGTCGCCCTCGACTAGGTCCTGTTTTAATACACTTCTGGTTTGTTGTCCTTGGAGAAATCGATATTCAAAAGCAAAATCTAAATGATGTAGCTAAAACGTTGGATGATTTATGATAGACAACCGGCTGGGAAGTTTTGAAAGCCACTTTCACAACTACTATCAAGATATCATCAACATTCACTGTAAACAAAATCGAACCAATGCCTCTTATGCCTTATTTTCTTGCCGTGAGAAAAGAATGGATAGGCATTAGTTCGATATTTCATGGGCCATCAAAACTTGCAAAATGATATGATAAGATGTCAGGATAACACTAGTGTATGTTACTGTTACACTCAATGAGACCATATGATCATATAGTTAAAAATTCAAAAGTAGGATTTATTGTTCTCAAAACTTTAGTGTTGACTTTATAAAGGTTAAGCTTAATTTATTGATATGACCCACTCACTTTCTTGGAACTCGCAGGCAACGCTGCCCGCGACAACAAGAAATCTAGGATTTTCTTTACTTTCTTTACTTTCTTTACGATATTAACATAACATAGTATGTTAATAACAAACGGCTCTTTTCAGAGCCACCAAATAATCAAGAAAGAATACTATGTTATGTTAATACTTAAAATGTGTAACTTAAAATGTGTTCAATTGAGCGAAATTTAAAATTGCCGTTTTTTGTTGTTATTGGTGCCGGGGGGGGGGGGCATTTTCATTTTTTGTTTTAAAAAGGTCAAATTAACGCTACCATCTTTTTAAAACTGCTTTTTGGCCGGGGGGTCTGGGGCACGTCCCCCCCCCTCGTGAACCCGCGCCTGCTTGGGATATCAGTGTAGTTAACCCTTACAAAGTTGAACGAAGACCCACGCATGCCAGAACACCGATATAGCAGTCTCATGTGCTGTCTGACTAGTGAACCCTAAAGATGATGCCACAAGACTTTACGAGACAGACATGTTGATCTAATTGGCTGTTGGTCACGTGAGCTATTGATCTCGTGCGATTTATAGCCCTTCCCCCAACCATGCTTTATAAATCATGAATTTGTGTAGGACTAATGGGATATCATCTAGCAAAGTATTACACTGTTGGGCCCTGCATCTGTCACCTCATGAAAGAGTTTGTTTTCCTTCTAATTCGTAAACACTTACTACTTGATTCGCATGACACGTACAGCGACCATGATCATGGACATTTGGAGGTGGGGGAGATTATTTGAGGGGAAATTATCCCGATCCGAGGCTTATACTTAATACGTCACAATAGAAAAAACCTCTCAACAAGCCATGGCTCGTGCAATGAGGAAGTGAGCGCTACGAAACAAGATGATCGGTAATTTGACTTTACGAAAGTAAAATATCTTTTATTAGCAACACTTGATGTAAATGTGGTTTAAATGTCTAACACGTATTCCATGGGTAGACTGTTCATGTACATACCTTATACATGTATATTCAGTCCAATTCATTCCGATATGTATTGGGTATTGCGCCTTCTCCTTGGGCTTACTTAGTGCTGAACACATCGTGATTCTGCATAGCGTCATAGGGGATTCATGTAGTCTTTGAGGATCAATATGAAACTAAACGATGGATAAATATTCAAAACATTTTAACACTGAAACAGCATGTTCTAACCAGTTCGATTTCTCTGAAGTACTGCTCTATTAACAAGAGTGTTTGTTTAGAGACACGAGTCTAAACATCTCTATTATGCGTCTAAAGGGGTTGGCAAATGTTTTGTGTCTAACAAATCCTGACAGTCCAGAAACCAAGACAAAAGAAAGTCAAAACTAACGAAGCAATCAAAAAAGTTTAATAAATCAATTAACCAGCTAACCGGTTACCAAGCAACCCACAAAGCCACCATCCACGAAACCAAACAAAGAAAATCAACCAAAGAAAATCAAAACAATCCACAAAGTGTAATAAATCCATTAACCAA